CTACCAGCATTTGTGTAGCCAGAAGTTGGGTCCCCATACTACGTCTTCCAAAGTTGCACGTTGCACTCAAATTTTTCGACTGAATTTAATTTTCGGATGAGGTTATACTGTGTCTCAATACCGCCCTCAAGTTACAATATGTAGATGATTCAATAGATGTTCTTGACCTCCAGCTATCTTAACACCGGCCATTTTAACCAGCTGTCAACACAAGCAAATTTTAACATGCTCGCTAAAATTATGGTTACCGAATAGGAAAGATGGTTACAATTTTTAGCGGACTGTTAAAAATTACATTTTTAACCAGATGTTAAAATTAACCTGATAGTTACAGAATAGACCCGTATACATTCGAAAAGTACAACATATTTGTATGCCTATCTCTTTTTAAATCATCCAAATATTGTAATCTAGCACGCACGGGTTTTTTCATAACAATAAAGAAACGGACAGACGTAGCATAACTCCACAGCTGATGCAAGAGCGCGTGAACAGTGTCGCCAGTCTGGGCAAGTTGTCTCCAAATTAGCAAGTGACGTAATTCTCAAATGTGATAAAAGACGACGTCGAACCACGGGTCACAAAATAGGCACTATTTCCTACTTATTGTATTTTTTATTAATATTTTATATCATTACAATTAAACTAGCAATTTGTGCAAGTTGCGGATTCAAATTGTCGCTTTACATTCAACGTAGAAGTGGCAACCATTCGTGTAAAATTTTAGTTGACAGACGTTTATTGGTCATAATTAGAGGTCTGCAAAATATGCATCACATTATGCATCAAGAAGCGATTCTAATTTACGTATACAAACAATAAATGTACCTTTTTATTACATAATGCTTCTTGATTTAGGTAATACAGCACATATAAATTACGTTGACTCGTTTCAATTCCTATTGATGCAATTTGAATAAAAACATAGCAAAACGCAAATAAATAAATTTAATTAATTTGGGACATGTTTTTTTGGAATTGGAGGAAGACTTGTGCGAGATAAAACATTAGTTTCAAAAGTCAACAGTATGCATTAAAAAGAATCACTGGATGTAAAAATTTTTAAGGTTAGAACGATCAAATAGGGGTCACCTTTTAATTATCAAAAATCACTGCGGATAAGCATATAAAATGTTGACGCACGGGTTGCAAACTTGTCAACACCGCGGGCATCCTGCTGCATCCAAGGAGTAGTCTGTGGCCTAGACTCAGTTACGAAAACTTTCCGTCACAGTCGTCTTTGTAGCGGGTCTATAGTTTGTCGTATTTTTTTCTGAATCTTTGATCGTTGAATAAGTGCGATTAGAATTTAAAAAAAAATTAACAGTGAAAATAGGTAGCTTGACGGTAACATAGAGAATGCATTTCACATTTTCAAAACACGCCATTCAAACGCTAATTTGTATTTACGAAAAGTACCCGGAGTGTTATGACTCCAACCTCCCAGCATATAGAAAGAAACATATTAAACGAACTAAAATGCAACAAATTCATGATGAATTTAAAGAGGTATATCCTGAAGCTACGCTGGAAGATGTACAGAAAAAAATTGCCAATTTGAGAACTCAATATTTCAATGAATCGAAGAAAAGAAGGAAATCAATGTTGTCTGGCAATGGGCAAGATGATATCTATAAACCTAGCTGGTGGTGCTTTGATTTACTCACATTTTTGGTTGTAAATAATGCAAGGGAAAACGGGGAATCAAATTTACCACCGCAGGTATTTAGTCACGATTGATATAAATTGTGCTGTATTGATCAAATTAATATTACTGTGCATGATTTTGTTTAGTTTTGTGTCCCAATGGTAAAGTTATGGTCAAAAGATAGGTGTGGTACAATAATGATAAAGCAATTTTCAAATGAACGACTTTTCGATCTTTATTGAGGTCTTTGTACAGTAAGCGAAAGCGATATCTGCAATGTAATAAATATCTGGTTCTATTGCTGCTTTGTCATTCTTTGATGTGGTTGGCTCTATTTTCGATTTCGGTTATTTGCAGGAAGAGGAAAAAATTTACGTGGACGAAAAATCGTGGGAGGAAGATATTAAGATCCAAATGCTTAACAGTGACCCCCTTTCCCCAGTTCCGCTTTCGAGTTCCTCAAGCGCAGGATGTAGTTTTCAAAACATGGAAAGGGAACAGTCAATATATGATTCCAACTCTATACCAGAACCAAGAGCTATAAAGAAATCACATTCTTCAGAAAATCTACTACCGGCAGCTACAGAAGCAGTAAATGGGTCTCGGAATACTTCAGTTGACCAGTTAGAGGCGTTTGGGACGTAAGACTTGATTTTTATTTTAATATATAGGGTGATTCAAAATTGGTGTCATTCCTTTTAAGGGGCTATAGAGGCTCACTTAGAGAGTACCGAAAAAATATTGGATTTTTCTTTTATTTATAGAAGATATTAACAGTTGTAAATCGAATTTCAACTTTGTTATTAAGCATTATTTTGAAATGGTTCCATGTTTAATTGGTAGCATATTGGAATACTTAAGCATTCAAAAGGAAAAAT